GGAGAGGAATTAGAAGGAAAGACCTCTGCTTTCCCCTCTGCTTGCCTGGAGGGGAGGGGATTTGCCTGCTCTTTGTTCCGTTTGAGCAAACACAGCAACGAAACAGAGGAGGGTGGGCAGTAAGACCCTGAGGCAGAATGCAGGAAAGCAACCACTTCCTCTTTTCAGGTTTCCCTTCTCCGACACAACGCGCTTTGATTTTTGCTGATTTTTGTTCCTGCGCTCCCCTAATCGGCTCCAGGGACCCCCCCCCCACATTCGCTCCATAACACGCACAGACATTTCCCCTTCCTTTTTAGGAGAAAAAATCTGCGTGTAATAGAGAGAAAAATACGGTAAATAGGTACCGCTCCAGCGGGAAGGTAAATGGCGTTTCCGTGCGCTGCTCTGGTTCGCCAGAAGCGGCTTAGTCCTGCTGGCCACATGACCCAGAAGGTGTACGCCGGCTCCCTCGGCCAGTAAAGCGAGATGAGCACCGCAACCCCAGAGTCGGCCACGACTGGACCTAATGGTCAGGGGTCCCTTTACCTTTTACACCCTAGAGAAAGGGTGAGAAATCTACCCATTTTGGGGGGTCTCCAAGCTCCCCAAAGCCCAAGGCAATCTGGGAGTTGCAGTGCGGCCACAACCAGAGGGTGCCAAGATTCGGAATAATCCAAACCAATGGTTTATATTTGATACGCTTGCTCTTTGGTCTGAACACGGAGCCTCTGCCACTCATCGATATATGCTGCGCATGGGCTGATAAAAGCTTTTCCCACCCCCCCGGCCTCGCCCACAAAAACCGATTCTAACCCCGTTTAAATTAATCATTAGCAGCACTCTTGCAAATACTGCAATTTGGTACTTAAAAGGCATCGTCTAGATGAAAAATTAATCACCCTAAATGATAGATGGGCTGGCCTCCTTGGCTGCAGGCTGTGTGTGTGTGTGTGTGTGTGTGTGTGTGTGTGTGAGAGAGAGAGAGAGAGAGAGAGAGAGAGAGAGAGAGAGAGAGAGAAGCAAGTTTTCATGTCTGGTACACACATTCAGCATCATTTGGCTTAACCAAATCAAGTCCAGCCTTAGGTCTCCAGCTTATTCCCCTTGCAGGGCAGTTATGTCTTCCATATCCACTGCAAATGTCCTTTAAAATGTGATATATTTCTCCATCATCACCATCTCATCATCTATTTATACCCCATCCATCTGACTAGCTTGCCCCAGCCGCTCTGGGTGGCTTACAACATATATAAAAACATAATAAAACATTTAAGCATTAAAAAAAACCCTTCCCTATACGCAGCTGCCTTCAGGTGGCTTGGGGGGGGGGGTCAGATAACCCCATACCCTCCAATGGAAACAGGGGCATCCTAAGGAAGTAAAAGGTAAGTTCGAAAGCATGCCAGCGCAAGTAGATAAATAGGTACCGCTCCGACGGGAAGGTAAAGGGCATTTCCGTGCGCTGCTCTGGTTCGCCAGAAGCGGCTTAGTCCTGCTGGCCACATGACCTGGAAGCTGTACGCCGGCTCCCTTGGCCAGTAAAGTGAGATGAGCGCTGCAACCCCAGAGTCGGCCACGACTGGACCTAATGGTCAGGGGTCCCTTTACCTTTACCCTTAAGTTTGTTCTTGGTATAAGCTTTTGTGTGCATGCACACTTCTTCAGATACATATTTTGACTAAATGTTCTCCTGAACAGTTCAAGTAGATAAATAGATACCGCTCCAGCGGGAAGGTAAACGGCGTTTCCGTGCACTGCTCTGGTTTCACCAGAAACGGCTTAGTCATGCTGGCCACATGACCCGGAAGCTGTACGCCGGCTCCCTTGGCCAATAAAGCGAGATGAGCGCTGCAACCCCAGAGAGGGAGCAAATAAGAAACCAAGACAGTTTCTGTAAATCTGGGACTGTCCCTGGAAAACAGGGGCATTTGGGAAGGTCTGTTTATCCACCCACCCATCTGCGTCTAACAAGTAATCTTCTAGTCCTCATTGTTAACATTATTGTTACAACGGCATTTTGCTACCTTAACCCCATCTAGAGATTTGGTGCAAAGGCAGGGTAACATTCCAGCCAATAAACTGGAGTGGGTTTTGAGGTCAGGGGTAGGGGGAAAACTCATACGGTGGAAGTTTGAAGGAACCAGGTATTTTTTTAGTCCATAGAAGAGGTTGATAGGAGACAGGTTGACACAATTCAAAAGGCCTAGACTGGTGTGCATTCAGAGCCCAAAGTTATCGGGAGAGAGTGTCTGTTCTGCATGCATTAAGGCCCTGTGTTCGAGTCCTGACACCATCAGGTGGGGTTGGGAAAAGGGCAAGAGACTGGGATTAGATAGATCTACTAGGCTGGATTGGCAGGAGGGCAGATTTCCGTTCAGCATTAGAAGAAACTGTCTCCATTTCCTTCCACCTAGCTGATTTCTTGGACCATCAAGAAGGCTGATTGCCAAAGCATTGATGCTTTTGACTTATGATGCTGGAGGAGACTCTTGAGAGTCCCATGGACTGCAAGAAGATCAAACCTCTCCATTCTGAAGGAAACCAGCCCTGAGTGCTCACTGGAAGGACAGATCCTGAAGCTGAAGCTCCAATAACTTGGCCACCTCATGAGAAGAGAAGACTCCCTGGAAAAGACCCTGATATTGGGAAAGATGGAGGGCACAAGGAGAAGGGGACGACAGAGGACGAGATGGTGGGGCAGTGTTCTCGAAGAGACCAACATGAGTTTGACCAAACTGTGGGAGGCAGTGGAAGACAGGAGGGCCTGGCGTGCTCTGGTCCAGGGGGTCAGGAAGAGGCGGACACGACTAAACGACAACAGATGATTTCTAGACTGTAGGCTCCTTGCGGACAGGGACTTGTTTTCTCCTTTGTAAAATGGCGCATCTACCTGGCTGGCTCTAAACCACAGAGCCTAGGACTTGCCGATCAGAAGATCGGTGGTTCGAATCCCCGCAATGGGGTGAGCTCCCGTTTCTCGGTCCCTGCTCCTGCCAACCTAGCATTTCGAAAGCACGTCAAAGTGCAAGTAGATAAATAGGTACCACTCCGGCGGGAAGGTAAACGGCGTTTCCGTGCGCTGCTCTGGTTCGCCAGAAGCAGCTTAGTCCTGCTGGCCACATGACCCAGAAGCTGTCTGCGGACAAACGCCGGCTCCCTTGGCCTATAGAGCGAGATGAGTGCACAACCCCAGAGTTGTCCGCGACTGACCTAAGGGTCAGGGGTCCCGTTACTTTACCACCCTGCACTAATTCTTCGTCTCAGTTCCCTCTTCCTCGCAAGCTGTGTGTGCTGCTGTTGAAATACAGAGAAGGGTTTGTTAAAATTCAACAGTGCCCTCTTGTGCACCAAGGGTGTGCCTACATCTCGGCCGAAAAAGAATCTTGCAAGAGAGCAACTCTCCGGCTTTTAAAAGAGCCAGTGAGACGAGCCCCTCCTCAAATAAAAAGCTTTATTCACTTTCTCCACAACATACCGTATTGGCCTGCATATAAGCCACACTTTCTTTTCCCAAAAGGAGAAAGTTAGTAAAGGTAAAGGGACCCCTGACCATTAGGTCCCGTCGTGGCCGACTCTGGGGTTGCGGCGCTCATCTAAACGACTAAACAACAACAAGGTGCTACTGGAAGGAATTTTTTAAAATTCTGTTTCGCCTACGGCAGACCAACACGGCTACCTACCTGTAACTATCATCACCAAAGAATGGCCAGGCTGTCCAGGTAAACCCATTAACAGGTTTCCTGCCAGACAGAATTCTGCTGTAGACTGCCCCTTCCGTGATGCATGTATGATGTATTGGGGTGGTGGTCTTGAGCTACAGGGTGGCAGTTTCAAAAGTCTATTGCAATGTTCTGGGTTCCTCTCCTTCCTGCTGCCTGGGGGCTGAGCACCCTGTTGCAACAGTTTAAGAAAGATCATGCCAACTAGCTGTTTTGCTTCTCAATATTCTCTGGTCCCATCATCCCTAGCTAGCATCATTCTACCTGGACACTGAGGTCCAGCACCGAGGGCCTTCAGGCGGTTCCCTCACCGCGAGAAGCCAAGTTACAGGGAACCAGGCAGAGGGCCTTCTCGGTAGTGGCGCCTTCTCTGTGGAACACCCTCGCACCAGATGTCAAAGAGATAAACAACTACCAGGCTTTTAGAAGACATCTGAAGGCAGCCCTGTTCAGGGAAGCTTTTAATGTTTGATGTATTATAGTATTTTAATATTCTTTTGGAAGCCGCCCAGAGTGGCTGGGGTATAAATAAATAAATTATTATTATTATTATTATTATTATTATTATTATTATTATTACATGACCTGTGGTCAGGGATGATGGAAATTGTAGTCTGAAAACAGAGACTTGAGTTGGCGAAACCCCGGTCCCAAGGGTTAGTGATTCTTTTCGGGTGGAAAATTATTTCCAGCTGACCTGAAGTCAGTTTTACTGCAGTGGTAACTTGGTTCTCAAACGCCTTGGAACTCAAGCAATTTGGAACCCAAGCACTGCAAACCCGGAAGTTAGTGTTCCGGTTTGCGGACATTTTTCGGAAGTTGAACGTGCTCTGTTTTGAGTGTTACACTTCTGTTTTGATTGTTTCACCGAGGTCTGTCTGGTTTTGCCAATTTATTTTGCGTTTTTTGTGGCTCTTTTTGTTTTGTTTTCGGGACTGTTCAGCTACTGATTGATTGGTTGCGTGACTGCAGGTTTTTTTTGCTTTCCTTTTAGGGATCAATGGTTTCGTTAGATAGTAAAATTCATGTTCAATTGCTCTTTCAGGGGTTGTTTTTAAAAGTCTGGAACGGATTAATCCGTTCTGCATTACTTTCTATGGGAAAGCGCGCCTTGGTTTTGGAACGCTTTGGTTTTGGAACGAACTTCAGGACGGATTCAAGTTTGAGAACCACTGTATTCCTTTCGAACTCTCACCAAGCCTCCATTTCAAATGAAAGCAGTATTTCTCGTTTTGTGAAATAAAATTCTTCCCGCGAGCCACCAAAGAACGGATGCAGATCTCCATAACGTCGCAAGGGTTGGTTTTTAAAAACTGAAGTCTTTTATTAAAAGTCTTATTCAAATTTCTCTTAACAAAAAGGAGATATATAAAAAAAAGGACCGGAAAACCCCAGAAAGAACAAAACAAAAAACCGCACGCACAAAAAAAGGAGAAGGGAATATTCATTTCTGGGTTTAGCTTTTGACCACATCATAAGGCCTGTTTTTGAACGAGGGCTAATATCTTAAAACTCAGAAAAACCATGTTCTGTTGTGAAGTGGGGGCAGGCAGACTATCCCAGGGAAGATGGAAACACAACTCTTTAATTTATTTGTGGTGGGGGGGGGTTGAGGGGGGGCAAAAAGAAGATGGTGTTACCTGCCCTGGGACAAGATACCGAACCCCAGAAATCCAGCTATTTCCCCCCCCCCCACCAAGCAAAGATCTGCGATTCAGTAGGGAAGAACCTCTCTCTATCCCCCTCCCAATCTTGTAGGATTTTTATCGCCAACCTCATTCCTTGGCCCCAGCGCCGTGCCCAGATGTGCAGCCGTCATGGTCTCCCCAACCCCGAAGGCGGGACCCTGAGACCGGCCCCCACCCAACTTGTCGCATGCTGCCGCAATTTCCCTCCAAGAGAGACAAAAAAGAAAAGTGTTTCTGGACTGCAACTGGGCTCGACAATGAAATATCGCCATCTGCGGACACAGAATTTTAAGGAAAGGCTTTTGTGTTTGTGTACGCACCAACTCCATTTCCCCCAAGCGAAACATTATCTATGATTCCGCAGCACAATTTCGCTTCGCGCTTCGTTCATTCTTGTCCTCTCCCTCCCATTATTGTCATGTTTTTTGTGCTGCCCTTACAAGTTAGAAGCCTCAGGTGGAATTTCCAAAACCGGGGAGGGAAGGAGAAAAAAAAAAAATTAAACACAGGAGTCGGGAAGACGGCGACGCTGTTTTTCTTCTAAACCACTCGCCTTGTTAAGGATAACACAAGTTAAGGAGCGGGGGTTGGGATTCAAGCCCCCACTGGGGGGGGGGGGAGGCGAGCTCTGAAATAATACGGCAGCCCTCCATCGGGGAGCAGGACCCCCCTCAAATTAAATTGGAAATCTGAGCAAATAATAAGGAATTCTCCCCGCAGGTCTTCGGTAACTCAAGTCAACCCAACTGGGGAAAGAATATCAGAACAGTTGGGGGGGGGGTTTTACAGGGACACACCACATCAAAAAAAAAGCCCCCCCCCAAAAGAAAAGGTGTTGGGCCAACGACCGCAGATCAGCTAGCTGCAATTCATGGCTTAATAAAAGAGGCTTAATAAAAGAATAGTTAGAAAAATGGAACAGCATCCAGAGTGGTCTGGGAATCTGCCATGACAGCTGGAGAATTCGTCGTCGTCGTCATCACTGCACCCCGATTCCAAAACCGCCGCCTGTGGGAGGGGGTGTCCCCCACCCAGCCCTACCCCCTAGTGGCAGAGCAGATAACTTCTTGTTTTTTGGGGGGGCAAGTGGTGTGGAAGAGAGACGGAAATGAGCTTGTCCGACGCACCATCCGATTCGCGAAGCCTTTGGTCACAAAATACCCCCAAACAGGAGAGGAGTTGAAGGGGCTGGGGTATTTGGGGAGGGGGGGGAGGAGAAAAACTGTGCGCATTTTCTGGGGGGGGGAGAGAAAGCCACCCGACAAACGTCTCCTGAAACACCTCAACTGTATTCTACATTTTAAAAAAATATACTGTGGATGTCGCAGCGATACAAAGGGGTTGGTGGGCCGGGAAGCAACTGTGGGGGGGCCGGGGGTCAGAGTGTGGGTGGGTGGGGGGCCCACAGGGGCGGGAGAGAAAGGGGAGTGAAGAAATTTGTCGTCACAGTCTCACTTGCGGAACAGCAGGGGCCAGGAAAGTCACAGTCCGTTAAAAAAACGGATCGTCTGGCTACGAGGAAGAGGAGCCGGTCAGTCGTCTTCGTCGTCGTCATCGTCTTCGTCGGGGTCGTCTTCCCCTTCGTCCTCAATCTCTCGTTTCCGCTTCTCGCCCTGAGGCAGATCTTTTGGGGGAGAGAGAGAAAAACCACACATATTTAAAAACAAACAGTAATGTCCACCCCTGGCAAAATTATTTCTTTGTTCTGTATTTGTAAGAAACACTGGAACTCACTGGCTATAGAAATCAAGCAAGAAAGTGCTGGAAATGTTCTAGACAAGCCAGCATGACGAAGCCACTTCTGGCGAAACCAGAGCAGCGCACGGAAACGCCGTTTACCTTCTAGCCGGAGCGGTACCTATTTATCTACTTGCACTTTGACGTGCTTTCGAACTGCTAGGTTGGCAGGAGCTGGGACCGACCAACGGGAGCTCACCCCGTCGCGGGGATTCGAACTGCCAACCTTCTGATCGGCAAGCCCTAGGCTCAGTGGTTTAACCCACAGCGCCACCCGTGTCCCCCTTCTTAGGTAGGCTAGTGCAATTTGTGATACAGACAGGAGGCTGGGAGGTTTGCTCAGAGCTACAGGACTATTCAAACTGAGGACCTGGGATTTAAAAGCCCATGCCTAACCGGCCCTCAGATTATATTTTTTAAAAAGTTTATTTTTATTAAACTTTGTTTTACCATTTAGACTAATATTTTAAGGTTGTTTAAATGAATAATGGCTTCCCTTCTCTTTCCACGGTTCATTCTGCATATCCTGCGAATTTTACACAAATTATACCATTCGGTATTCCATCAAAACTTTTTGACACTGTTGAATTTATCTTAACGCTGCCCACGTTTTCAAGTGTACACAATTCCCCCCCCCCGTATATTCCATAAACGATTTCTTCTCTAAACGTATGTTCTTCTTGTTCTCTTATTCAATATTAGGTCCGCCAGCTGCGCATATTCCACCAGTTTAAGTTTCCATTCCTCTTTAGTTGGGACCTCACTTGTTTTCCATTTTTGGGCTAACAAAACACGGGCCGCAGTAGCAGCATACATAAATAGCCTAAATAGCCCTTGGATTAACTATCCTTTGGGAGGAAAAGGCTTGCCACCTCTTCGCCATCCCTCAGAGACCAGAGCGCTGATTTAAAAAGGCTCACCTTCGTCTTCATCATCCTCCTCGCCTTCCTCTTCCTCCTGAAGTCAAGAGAGAAGAAACTTTTACCTCAACCCAAGAAGGGGACACAGCCCGCAACTTGCACAAATTTAACCTGTGCGCGTTCAGCTATTATTTATTCGATTTATAAACCTCCCGCCATCGAAAGATCACAGGGCAGCGTGCAACATTAAAAACCCATTACGGAACATCAATAATGGTTAAATAAAAACATGGAGGAGGATACGGACAGGCAGGCAAAAGAATAATCGTTAATAACACTCCTCTGTCCCACACTTTCACAGGCCACAGTTTATTTCATGCAGGCATGTCCAAAGTCTTGTTTCGGGGGACTAATCCAGCCTGCCGGTCGATTTAATCCGGCCCCCGATTTAATCCGGGCCTCTTTGAAAAAAGTTTGGGCAAAGAGGTAAAGAGGAATGTTTTTCGCCTGGCGCCTAAAGACATGAAATGATGGTGCCACCAATGGCAGTTTAAAAAAAAGAACAAAATTCAAAGAGGGTGCCCAGGAAATCTGTTGCCATCCACCCCCCAAATCCCACCCACCGCAGACCCCATGAGACTTTTAATCTCAGGGTCGTGGGTTTCGAAGCTCCAACGTTGGGTGAAAGACGCAAAGACCCTCGCAGTCCCTTCCAACTCTAAAAGCCTACGATTACAGCTTTGTGCAACATCCCCGAAACATAGCCCCAGTGCCAAGCTGAGAGTCGCCTGTATCTACCCCCTCCCGACAACCCTAGATTTTGGGGATTGGCGCTGTAGCACCGCGACAGAGAAGAGCACTGTCTTCGAAGCGCTGGCGAGCCGCTGCGGCTAAAATCAAGCTAGGTAAAGGGACCCCTGACCGTTGGGTCCAGTCGTGGCTGACTCTGGGGTTGCGGCGCTCATCTCGCTTTATTAGCCAAGGGAGCCGGAGTACAGCTTCCGGGTCATGTGGCCAGCAGGACTAAGCCACTTCTGGCGAACCAGAGCAGCGCACGGAAACGCCGTTTACCTTCCTGCTGGAGCGGTACCTGTTTATCTACTTGCACTCTGACGTGCTTTCGAACTGCTAGGTTGGCAGGAGCAGGGACCGAGCAACGGGAGCTCACCCTGTCATTGCGGGGATTCGAACCGCCGACCTTCTGATCGGCAAGTCCTAGGCTCTGTGGTTTAACCCACAGCGCCACCCGTGTCCCTTTTGGAGCTAGAGGGCCCCTATTTGAAACCAGCTCTTTAACCACAACTATGAGGACCAGAATCTTGCCCCCCCCCCTTAGAATATGGTAAGAGCATGCATTTGATCTCAGGGTTAAGCAGGCTAGCCTAGATACCTGTATAGAGGAAAAGAATATTATTGTGATTATTTAAATGGCCTGGCTTTGTGCAAGGCAGTTTTCCCGTCTGAAGGATCAGCTACCTGCAAAACAAATCTCTTTTTTTCCCTCTCTTTCTGGGGCGTGGGATGCTGTTACTGAACAGAGCACCCTTTGTTCTAACCGCTCTGGGAAACGTGAAGTTAAAAGCAGGGGGGAAGGAAAGCCGCCTTGCAAACTTACTTCATCGTCAACCCCGTCCTCCTCCTCTTCCCCATCCAGATCTTCTTCATCCTCCTCGTCGTCGACTGCATCCTCGTCGAGTTCTTCTTCGTCTTCTTCCTCTTCCTCTTCACCTTCTGGGAAAGGGGAAGAAGCGGAAGAAAAAAAGACATATATTCCAGGTTTGAGGGAGAGGAAGGATTTTTGCCACCACAGCATGTAAAAAACAACGACAACGACCCCGATTTGCGTGAAGCTTTTCTCCCAGGGATAATCGATTCAGAAGTTCCCAAAAAGGCGATTATAAGCAGTTTATTAAAGCAGCTGGGATTCTCCTTGCACAAAAACAGGAGGAGGAAGTTGTTCCAACTGAGTAAAAGCAATGGGGGTGAGGCAGAAATGGCAAAGGGCTCTGGAAAAAACACAGCACCGCAAAAGGAAAGACTTCATTACAAAGTGGGTTTGGGTTTGTTTTTGATATAGGGACCCCTGACCATTAGGTCCAGTCGTGACCAACTCTGGGGTTGCGGCGCTCATCTCGCTTTACTGGCCAAGGGAGCCGGCGTACAGCTTCTGGGTCATGTGGCCAGCATGACTAAGCCGCTTCTGGCGAACCAGAGCAGCGCACGGAAATGCCGTTTACCTTCCCGCCGGAGCGGTACCTATTTATCTACTTGCACTTTGACGTGCTTTCGAACTGCTAGGTTGGCAGGAGCAGGGACCGAGCAACGGGAGCTCACCCCATCGTGGGGATTCGAACCGCCAACCTTCTGATCAGCAAGTCCTAGGCTCTGGGGTTTAACCCACAGCGCCACCCGCGTCCAGTTAGGGTGCAGCAAATGGGGAAGAAATAAAACAAAGCACCAGGGCCAGGAAGCTGACGAAAGGAAAGAAAAAATCCACGATGCATTGGAGCGTTCGATTTCCAAAAACTCAAAAGCCCTTCCCCGCGTCCGACCGAGTCTCACCTTCCCCGTTCTCGTCGTACTCGTCTTCCAGCCCGTCCACTTCCGGGTCGGAGTCAGGCGCCTCTTTGTCGTTCGTGTCAAAGCCGTCGAGGTAAGTGAGTTGCGGGAGAAGGGTGAAGATGCTCTCCCGGTAGCTGATGAGCGTCGTCACTTCGCAGTTGAAGAGGTCCAAACTTCGTAGGTGAGACAGCTTTTTCTGTGGAGATTCTGGAGGTGAACCGGGCGAACGATAATCGCATGACACCCCCCCCCCCGTAAATCAGAGCCACGAGCTGCAGTCAGCACAGAAAGCTGCAGCAAAATGGCTGACCCCTTTTGATCACCGGCCACAGGTTTGTTACTGGGACAAATTTAAAGTGTGCATAAACCACATTTTGCAAACCACCACCTTCAGATTAGCAACGGTATGTAAAACGAATTAAAAAATAAACGTTTAAAATAACTTGTTGTTTTTTAAAAAAACGCAGAAGCTTTTAACATGTGCCGTTAAGGTAAGACGGGGAATATGCAGAAGAAATGATTCTGAGGAGATATGGAAGGTGTTTGTTGAATTGGTACTGTTAAAACGGAAAGGGGTCAAACCATCGCAAGAGGTGTTGAAATTTGGGGAGGTTGGGTAGTTACAATGGAACGGTCTCGGTGGCGGGGAGCGCATTCCTATTCATGATTTTTACTCTGTCAAAATAAAATATAATAAATGATTTTCTAAAACCTTGTTTTTGCCTAGGCAAGGCCACTCAAACGTCTAACTCTGGCACATTATGTCCATTGGTTTCAATGAGTCTACTCCGAGAAACAGGGCCCAGTTGGCTACCACCCCAAGACCCTGACCAACCCCCCCTGCCAATTCAAGGTTTTGAGGCCTCGCGTTCCCACCAAACCACAACCGTGCAGTTCTTGGCAAACCATGAGGACTAGATACTTGACTTTGGGTTACAAAGCAAAGCAGCAGCCGCTGAATTCTGGCAGGAGGGAGAATAAAAGCACCTCAGAATTTGAGGATGAAAAAAGGGGTGCACCCCCTAGGAAGGAGAGAGGCGACTTCACCAAAAGAGGAACACACAAATATATATATATACAGACAGACAGACAGATATAGATAGTTTCCTCCAGCTCTTTGAGAGAAGCGTTTAACTCACCAGTGGCTCCAAAGTGTTTATATCCTTGATTTTGTTTCCGCTAAGATTCAAGTGCGTCAAGTTTGGAGTTTTCTCAGCAAGGACTTCCAAGCCGCCAGAAATCCTATTGTCGCTCAGCTCCAGCTACGGAGGGGAAAAACAGAAAAGCTTCAGGCTTCGCAGTTTATTTCCTGGGGGTCAAATCCTAAAAAAACCTCAACAACAACAATAACAACAGCTCGGCCCTCACGCATCAAACCTGGCCCTCTCTGAAATAGCTTGGGCACACCTGTCTTATAGGGAAGAAGGCAGTTCCTGGAAGGATCCCTTTAGCTTTACGCCAAGGTCTTGCTGCTTACCTTGCGCAGTTTATTGAGTTTTGGGAGGTTGGCGACGGACAGGAGGTTCACGTTGATCATACTGAGGAATTCGAGGTTTTCAAAGTCAGAGGAGAGCCCTCCGATCTTGCCGTCGTCGGAGCGGCAGTTGTCCAGAACTAACTCCTTCACCTGGGGAATTGTGGTAGAATTGCAAAATGATTTGAATTGTGCAGGATGTTTATGTTATCCAGATTTAATATGTTTCCCTCGAATGATAGTGAGGAGAAGATATTTAGCTCTCCCGGAATCAGAGCATCTCTGCAAATGTAGTAAACAGGAACCTGATACTTTGGAGCATATTTTGTTTTCTTGTGATTTTGGCATTTACGCCAGAAGACAATTATTAGAGGCCTTACAACTCAATAGGCTGATGTCTAACACTATCAACGGTTCAGGACCTGCTTTCGGACAGGAATGATCAAATTACTTTAATAGTGGCTGAATTTATGAGTGCTGTCCATGTAGAAAGACTGGGCCATTATAAAGAGATTTAGCAGTTGTATTGTATTATGTCTGTTTGATAATGTGTGGTTTGCTATGCCTAATAAAGGATATTTGAGAACCGCAAAATGATAAAAGGATTTCTGGGAAATGATATACAGTCATACCTCGGGTTACGAACGCTGAGGGTTGTGAAGGAGCCTTCCGCACAGATCACGTTCGCAAACTGAGGTATGACTGTACAGTGGTACCTTGGTTCTCAAATGCCTTGGTACTCAAACAACATGGAACCCAAACACTGCAAACCCGGAAGTTAAGTGTTCCGGTTTGCGAACATTTTTCGGAAGCCGAACGTGCTCCGTTTTGAGCGTTACGCTGAGGTGTGTCTGTTTTCGCTACTTATTTTGCGGTTTTGTGGCTCATTTTTGTGTGTGTGACTGTGTGGAACCCGGTTCAGCCACTGATGGTGTGACTGCAGTACAGTGGTACCTCAGGTTACATACGCTTCAGGTTACAGACTCCGCTAACCCAGAAATATTACCATCCTGAACTTTGCTTCAGGATGAGAACAGAAATCGCGCGGCGGCAGCAGGAGGAGGAGGCCCCATTAGCTAAAGTGGTACACCTCAGGTTAAGAACAGTTTTAGGTTAAGAACGGACCTCCAGAATGAATTAAGTTCCTAACCCGAGGTACCACTGTACATTGTTGATTGCTTTCATTTTACGGATCAATGGAAAGACAAGATTTTATGGATCAATGGAAAGACAAGATACCAATGGAAAACGGAGTGGCAGATGAAATTATTGTGACTATGCAGAGATTGCAAGACCGACCAGGAAAATCTGAAACCAGGAGGGACCAAAACTTCAACAGAGAATGGGACAAATACAGATTGTATCTAAAAGAACACTGTTAAACACTTGAACTCTTTTGGGCAGCCTTTAAATAACTCTTACGACGTTACGAAGACTTTGGATATAATGGAGGACTGTTCCTTGAATGAACTTAAAATATGCACTTGACAAAAAGGGTTTTTTTTTAAAGAACCCACGGATGGGATGAGGGAAGGCCCTAAGATTCGGAAGAATCTTGTTTTCAATTTTAACAATTGTAAGAACTTTATGTGCGTGAATGAATTTGTAAAACCAAATAAAACTTTTATTTAAACAAGGTAAAGAAAGGAAGGAGGAAGCCAACCTCTCATAATATTTTTTTACAGAAAGACACATTATTGCTGGTATAATCTCAATATTTACAACCAGATGAAGGTTTCAGTTTCAACTTTTCTGCTGTAGTTTACTGGAAGGTGAAAAACAATCATTTCCTTAGTAATTTGTTTAACTAAAACAGTAACATTATAGCATATGTATCCATGTTTGTTAAGTTATAGCACACATGAAAAACTGGGGGAAATATCCTTATAGCCTTTGGAGTATAATGTAACTTAAATAGAAAACTATCTTTAGGGGGGGGGAAAATCCCCAAAAGCATTTTATTTTAAAAATCAGATTTAAATAAATAAAAATCCAATTTAAATGAAAAGAATCTGATTTTAAAAATAATAATTGATTTTTATCCACTCTGGGACAACTGCATATTCCTGCATCGCAATGGCACAAGGTGCAATTTCTGAAACAGACCCAGGGCCTTGATTTCACCCCCAGCTCTTAAATCCATAAATTACAAGAAGTGGACCCAGTTCTCACGACACCTTCGCCACGCGAGATGGCTCAGGTATTGGGCTTTTTCTACAGGAACAGTACAGTGGTGCCTCGCAAGACAAAATTAATCCGTTCCGCGAGTCTCTTCGTCTTGCGGTTTTTTCGTCTTGCGAAGCACGGCTATTAGCGGCTTAGCGGCTATTAACGGCTTAGCGGCTTTAAGAAAAAGGAAACAAACTCGCAAGAAGTTTCGTCTTGCGAAGCAAGCCCATAGGGAAATTCGTCTTGCGGAACGACTCAAAAAACGGAAAACCCTTTCTTCTAGCGAGTTTTTCGTCTTGCGGGGCACCACTGTATATATATGGCCTTTGGAAAGGCGAGATTTGCTTTGCCTCCGGTTTTCTTATCTGTAATTACAAGGGCTTCCATTTAATTACGAGGGTAAATGGGAGGGACCACCTCATAGGACAGTCGTTAATAATAATAATAATAATAAAATAAATTTTATTTATATCCTGCCCTCCCCAGCCGAAGCCGGGCTCAGGGCGGCTAACAATCAAATAATCCAACATTCTAAAAACATTTCATTATAAAATTAATTAAAATCAAATTGATGGCAACCGTTAAGCAAAATTCTGTGCAGATTGCCAGAGGAGGGAGTCAGGCTGTTAAGAGACATAGATAAAACGCTCGCTAAGAAAAAAAGATTTGGGGCATTTGAAAAGAGCAGCACCGGCAAATGAAACAGGCCTTTGTGCTAAAGATCAGGAGCTGGAGGACTCTGTACCAAACATGTCCGTCCGCCCCCCCCCCCAAAAAGACATTTGCCAACCTCTCCAGAAAAAAAGTTTTTCATTAAATCAGGAATATTTTCAGCCAAGCTCACAGAGCCGCCTGGTGGCCGCGAGCCGCAAAAGGACTCCAGCAACGCAGTTATGGAAGCAACAGCCATTTCCCAATGCAAGGAATAAGGACTATTTTTTTTTAAAGGGCTTTAAAAATCCTCCCCCCCCCCCAGCCCCTGTTTTTAAGCTGATTATCAAACGCTGCAGAGGGAGTTTATCTCCTGATGCACAGGCCTTGGAATAGTTTTAATTGGAGTTTGAACAAATGCACAATTAACTGTGCTCAAGTGTTAGAAACTCACGATATGTAGGCCAAACGGCACCTTAAAGCTAGGCTGCAGGTCCCCACAATGGGGTGTCTACGTGGCATTCTCTTTCTCAATGAAATTTATTATTATTCATTTCATTTCTATGCTGTTTTGTATTTTAAAGCCGGGGGAGAAATATATCTCAAATCAGTTTGCAGCACATGAAAACAGCTAATACAGGGGTCAGCAAACTTTTTCAGCAGGGGGCCGGTCCACTGTCCCTCAGACCTCGTGGGGGGCCGGAGTATATTGGGGGGGGGCAATGAATGAATTCCTATGCCCCACAAATAACCCAGAAATCCATTTCAAATAAAAGGACACATTCTACTTATGTAAAAACACCAGGCAGGCCCCACAAATAACCCAGAGATGCATTTTAAATAAAAGGACACATTCTACTCATGTGAAAACACGCTGATTCCTGGACCGTCTGCGGGCCGGATTTAGAAGGCGATTGGGCCGAATCCAGCCCCTGGGCCTTAGTTTGCTTACCCACGATCTAATACAGGCTTCCTCAACCTCAGCCCTCCAGATGTTTTTGGTCAGGGGTGATGGGAATTGTAGTCTCAAAACATTTAACCTAATTTAACCAAATAAAGAAGACTCAAGCCTCCGTGAAAATATTTCAGATCTAAGGGACATTTTTACTTTCCCCATATTGATCGACCCACTTAATTTATAGGATAACAGGCAACACGTGGCTAATTATGTTCTAACAACTTAATTTGTCCCTGCTCCTGCCAACCTAGCAGTTCGAAAGCACGCCAGTGCAAGTAGATAAATAGGTACCACTCCGGCGGGAAGGTAAACGGCGTTTCCGTGCGCTGCTCTGGTTCGCCAGAAGTGGCTTAGTCCTGCTGGCCACATGACCCAGAAGCTGTACACCGGCTCCCTTGGCCAATAAAGCGAGATGAGCGCCACAATCCCAGAGTCGGTCACGACTGGACCTAATAGTCAGGGGTCCCTTTACCTTTGGCAACCTAAGGGCCGTGGGCCGGATGCGTCCCAATCGCCTTCTCAATCTGGCCTGACAGTCCGGGAATCAGCATGTTTTTACATGAGTAGAATGTGTCCTTTTCTTTAAAATGCATCTCTGGGTTATTTGTGGGGCCTGCCTGGTGTTTTTACATGAGTAGAATGTGTGCTTTTATTGAAAATGCATCTCTGGGTTACCTGTGGGGCATAGGAATTCATTCTTCCCCCCATATAGTCGGGGCCACCACATGGTCTGAGGGACAGTGGACCGGCCCACGGCTGAAAAAGGTTGCTGACCCCTGAATTAGATGGACCAACTTAAGGCAGCTTTTCCGGTCCTTACTGAAATCTGCTCCTACTGGCGTCCCACCCTGCCACTTTCTGACAGAAAGGCAACAAACAACTCGCTAGGAAAACACTCACCCCCCTGGCATTGCTTTGCGGGTCAGCGAAGAAAAGACCAGGCTTTGCGGACAGATTCGGCGCAGCCCGATTTTGGCAGGAGGCACACAGTTTCCGCAGCAGCAGCCCCACAGCCAGGGTGAGTCAGCTGTACAGTATCACAGTTGAGTGACCTAATCCTGGCCAGCAGCAAAGCCGCCGAACCGGCTGCCGTTGGCAGACGGCGCGAGAAGCAGCCGCATTCTTTGCACTGCGAAAACCAAGCTGTTTTTTTTTTTGCCTCCTCCTTCAAACCCAATGGGAAGGTGCAGCCGTCCGGATACAACGAACCAAACGTCGAGATGGGGGAAAGGGAGGACTTGGGTTAAGGAAGCCAGCACCCTATTGTGGCAACATCAACTTCGTTGGACTGGTCATGTTGTGTGGATGCCTGATTATCGTATTCCAAAGCAACTACAGTGGTACCTTGGGTTACATACGCTTCAGGTTACAGACT